TATACCTTTATCTTAACTCAATACAAAAAGCCTATAAAGTCAGTAAGTCCGACAATGCGCACGAATTAAGTTTTCACTCCTTTTTTAAGTGTAAAAGCATTCCTTCTTATCATTCTTGTGTTGAAACTCCACAACAAAATTCTGTTGTGGAACGTAAACACCAACACATTTTGATGTTGCACGTGCTCTTCTTTTTCAATCCAATATTCCACTTGTTTATTAGGGTGATTGTATCTTAACGGTTGTTTATATCATTAATCTCCTCCCTTCTCCCTTACTTTCAAATAAGATTCTTTTCGAGCTTTTAAACAAGCAGAAGCCCTCTTATAATCATTTGCGCTCTTTTGGATGTTTATGTTATAGCTCCACACTTACACACCAGCGACATAAATTTTCACCTCGAGCACATGCTTGTGTCTTCCTTGGATTCCCATTTGGATACAAAGGCTACAAACTTCTTGATCTCGAAAGTAATCAGATCCACATTACCCGTCATGTAGTTTTCCATGAGATCATTTTTCCTTTTTCTCATTATCGGCCAGATAATATTTCATCTGTTTTTTTTCATGATCATGTCATACCTCTTCCACAAGATACTGATCACTCTCCTCATATTTATTTTCCAGCCACCCCATCTCATTCCTCCACCACTTCTCATCCTCAGCGTCAGAGTAAACCTCCTTCCTATTTGTCTGAATATCACTGCTACCACACCTCTTGCACACACCATCCCATTTCCAATTTTCTTACATATGACAAGCTTACACCACAATATCACTCCTATATATGTTCCATTTCTTCACACATTGAACTCCAGAGTTTTTTTGAGGCAATCCGGATGCCAGTTTGGCAAGATGCAATGTACATAGAGTTGCGTACTTTGGACAATAGTCATACTTGGACAATTGTATCTTTACCACCAGAAAAGAAACCTATTGATTGTAAGTGGGTTTATAAAATCAAATATCAAACTAATGGACAGATTGAAAGACATAAGGCACGACAGGTCGCAAAAGGTTATACTCAACAGTTCGGAATTGATTTCCTTGACACTTTCTCACCGGTCGCAAAACTGGTCACTGTCAGGACCTTATTATCTCTGGCTGCTATCTTCTACTGGAGTCTCACACAGTTAGACGTTACTAATGTTTTTCTTCATGGAGATCTGCATGAAGAAGTATTCATGACTCTTCCTCCAAGCTATTCTCCTCGAGAGGGGGAGACGTTTCCACTTAATGCTGTTTGTCAATTACACAAGTCTATTTATGGATTGAAGCAAGCTTCGCGACAATGGTTCCATAAATTTTCCACAGCCCTGACTCAAGAAGGTTTTTCTCAGTCACAATATGACCACTCACTGTTTATCAAAAATCATGAAGATATTTTCATTGCCCTCTTGATTTATGTTGATGATATAGTAATTGCAAGTAATAATGATAACGCTGTCAAAGATCTCACATACAACTTGAATCAAAAATTCAAAATAAAAGACTTGGGACCACTCAGATATTTCCTTGGGCTTGAAGTTGCCAGAAACAATGATGGAATAACTCTATGTCAAAGAAAATATGCTCTTGATCTGCTCTCTAAGGCTGGATATTTAGGTTGCAAGTTGTCCCCTATTCCTATGGAACCCAATCTCAAGATTTCCAAGGAAGATGGAGAACCGCTTGGTGATGTCACCAGTTATAAACGGTTAATTGGGAAGCTGTTATATTTGACTATCACTCGGCCGGACATTTGTTACTCTGTTAATCGTCTGAGTCAATTCTTCGCTCCTCCATGGACAAGTCACCTTCAAGCTGCTTTAAGGATTCTACAGTATATTAAAGGAACACCAGGACAAAGGATTGATTCACTTCCCTGTAAATTCTCATATTCAAGTAAAAGTTTTCTCTGATGTCGACTGGGACACCTGTCCTGACACACAGAGATCTCTGACAGGATATTGTATTTTTGTCGGATCATCACTCATATCATGGAAATCCAAAAAGCAACAAACTGTGTCTCGATCTTTTGCAGAAACTGAATATCGCTCTATGGCAAATACAACATGTGAAATAGTATGGATCTTGAATTTAATGAAAGATTTGAATGTTAAGCACATAGGGTCAACATTATTATATTGTGACAATCAGGCTGCTCTTCATATAACTGTCAATCCGGTTTATCATGAAAGAACAAAATACATCGAGTTAGATTGTCATTTTGTTCGATAAAAGATCCAAGCCGGAACACTCAAAACCATGCATGTCTCTTCCAACAACCAACTCGCGGACTTGATGACTAAAGCTCTTCCTTCTACACAGTTCCATACACTTCTAAGCAAGATGGGTACAATCAATATGTATTCTCCATCTTGAAGGGGAGTATTAGAATTAATTGTTTGTTTTTTCGTTATCAATTTTGTTATCATTTTTGTTATAACAAACCATATGTAAATTTCCTTGTTTTGCCCTTTACTTTGTATATAAATGGTATACATTCAAATATCAATATACAACACAAAATTTATGGTTTATTTACTTCTCTAATACAATAGGAATAACTAAAGACGACTAGCACTCTTCTTAGCTCCTACAATGGAAAATCTCATAAGCATCTAGAAATTAAAAGATACCTGCACCGCTGAACAGGAACAAGCCGAACTAGTTTGGATAAATCAGAGAGGAGCAATTCCCAGGCTCGATAAACCCGGTGAGCTAACTCGACTAGGCCAGGTACCAGCAAGCCATTATCAGGAGGATCCTCGAGCATTCTGCAAGGGTGCATCTTTCGTGCCTCTCTTTCCTCCTTGGCTTTTTTTATAAGTTCTTTCATGGGGGTTGGGTATGGCTTTCTCTGCGACTTGTCCCTTCGGGGCTTTGGTATATCGGCATAGAGAGGATCATCTGGGTCTCCCGCTGCTGGAGCTAGGGTTTTAAGTGATGAAAAGTGTACATTTTGAGTCAATCGAGAGTGAAGCTTCTCTAAGTGAGAGATTCGGGGAAGTACCCATCGGTGCATTCTTTATCAGCTCGAGTATTAATTTGTGCAGGTCATCGGGAGTCCTGTTGTTTTTATTTAGAGAGATCAAAATTTGAAATTACTGGTTGCAGTCTGAAAAAAAAATTGCAATCAAAAGTTCAGAACGCTTTTGTAACAAAAATTGTCTGTTTTTATTTTCATTAAGTTCATTGTTTAGTATTGAAATTCTTTTTCAGCTCACCTCTCCTTGCTCTGATCTCTCACCCTCTTTTCTTAGTCTCCGTCAGTCCCCGCTTTCAACCCCTCTTCCATCATCTCGGTGTCCTCGCGCAGGCCGCTCCAAGGGAGCCAATAAGATTCTCTCCAGTGCACCTCTCCATTGTTACTTTCGGTTTTTTGCCTCGAAGTCCTCGCACCAGCTGACCAGCAACCCTAACCTAGCTTCAATTCTTTGCTTCCTTTTGATCATTACTCGTGTGCACCCGCTGAGCTCCTCGCCATATCTCTAATAGATCGCACACTCCAGTTGGTGGAGACAGAGGGTTCTTCCCTCGCTTGTTAGTTTCGTTCTTTCTTCGTGGGTCTTCTGCTTGTTCATCAACAAGTGGGCTGAGCTTGCGCTTTATGTTATGGGCTGATCAAAACACCCAGATAATTTGCACTTAGCCATCTCTGAAATTTTCATTTCTTTTAGTATAAATATATACATTATAGTAATTAACATGCATCCCTTCATTATAATACAAAATTTTATATAAAAATATACAATTTCACTCCAACTTATAATTTTTTACAGACCAAAAAACATACTTATTAGTTTGAAAATTTCAAATTTGATGTATCATTCGTATATATATTTACACTCAACTTTGGTTGATAGATGGGGAAGGATTTGTCCAAATGATAAATTAAGTTTATATAAAAATTGATAAAATTTATAAGTGTATTATTTAATTCTTTATATATTTAATTTTTTTTATTTTTATTATAACTTTTATTTTCTTCTAGTTAAATTAATTATAGATTACAAATATATTTCCCATTATTTCTGGATTTTTTTAAAACTTATATTTGAAAGAAGAGAAACTTTCTATTCTTCTACTAGGTTACAAACTGACTGCACCACTAAAATTTTAATGTAGCTCATTTGGTAATGATCATTAAAATAATGACATATTAAATTTTATTAGTCTTAAAGTAATTTTTACTAAAAATAATCTATTTTTTAATTTTTTTAAAAAAAAATTGGGAAAAATAACTTATAGCTTATTGTTTAGTAGTAAAAAAAAGTTGAAATTAAAAAAAAAATAAATTGAACTCGGAGAAAAAACCAAGCCGATTGCCTGTAAATCATAAGATGATGTAAATTTCAAGAAGACTTATTAAAGAGACTATGTCGTTAGAGAAGGATGATATTTTGATTAATGGGTTAAAAATTTTGATTAATGGATTAATGAAAACAAAATGAATCTTCGTTTCTTACAAATAAAAAATTATCACACACTTATATTTCACAAACTTACGTATAAAAAATGACGGGTACCCAAATCTCTTATAATGAAGTAAAATCTTGTATACGATATTGGTAATAATAGCAAATAATGATCTCCTATCTATATTTAAGTAGTAGAGTTCCTTTCTAATTTTAGGACATCTTATCATTTTTTTTCGAATTATAGTATTAAAAATTATAATTAAAAAAGTTAATATTATTTTCTAATTTAACATTTCTGATAATTTATCGACATAAGATTAATACATAGTTTAAAAACATATAATACATCTTTTAAGATAAAGATACGGATAAGTTAAAGTATTGCAATTGCCTACAATAATATTGAGGGATCTAGCTTGAATGTTGAGCTTTTTATTACTTACACATGTAACATATGTATAAAATATATTTAGAAGTATTGGTCATATAATCTCTAACTTTTGAGTTTATAATATAAAAATTTTCAAAAAATTTATTTGGATCATTTAATCTATATGAGATAAAAGTTATATTTAGTTATACTATTAAAAAATTTATTTGGATAATTTAATCTATATGAGATAAAAGTTATATTTAGTTATACTATTAAATTAGTACACGTTTGTTTTTTTAGGAACTCAAGTTGAGTTTATAGTCTTTTAATTTTCACTCTAAATTCATTAACATCTGAAATTGTCATGTTGTGATTTGCTTCAGTAACTTAAGGTGTTACGTCAAACACCATTTAACAAATCATATGATGATTAAATTTTTAAAATAAAAAAAATTAATATAATAGTTTTACTTAGAACACGTTACTTAGTAATGAAAATACTAGTTTGACATTAAGTTAACTCTCACTATAAACTCATTTAGTCAACTCAGACATGAAACTTAATGAGTAAACTCGATAATTCCTTACCTTCTAAGTATAGTGCCATGATAAAAGGATCAAGGTTGGTTATGAGTCACGCACATGCATTTCTCACTTATGGCTCTGGTACGTATACATGTATCTAGTTTTATATTGGTTTCAATATGCATGCGTCTGTTGTAACTGTAAGTTGTGTTTGGTTCACGATATAAATTTGCGCAATTAAAGTTTCCGACAATGAATGTCGAAGTAGAGACTAAGGTCTAACCGAACAAGGAAGTATGCATAGGTTATGAGTTATGTTTGGTTTGCACAATGTTTTTGTCTGTGCAGCTTGGAGATTGGAACCGGCTATAAGGGCATTAGGTTTTTTGATTGGTGGCTGACAATGAAGGTTAGTCCATTTAAGTTTCTGTTTTATATTTTTAATAATGTATTTTTTTATTGAATATTATATTCTGTATATACATATTTTTCCTAATAAAAAAAGATAAATGATCAATTATAAATAATGTAATTTACTTTTATACTCTATAATCTAATCTATTTTATTTTTAATACTTCCATTTAATTTCTCTTTAATACATTGATTTACTTTTTTTCTAACATCTTAATTTATTTATTTTTTCACATAAATCTAAAGCTATTAAAAAAATAGATAATTAATCACAAAAAGTATAATTTATTATACTCTTTATACCTTTTAATCTGATTTAGTTTATTTTCAATACTCTAATTTAATTTTCTTTAATAATTTCATTACTTCCTTTTCAACACCATAATTTATTTTCTCTTCTAACTAACATTGATTTAAAATTATTATAAATTTGGCAAAATATATGATTCAATTTAATTAATTACTAGATTCTGTACATATATATATATATATATCTAATAAAATCTGGAACAATTAATATCACATTGAATATCTTAATAAATCTAAGAAGGAGATTTCAATTTATTTATTTAATATAAAATTTCAAGACAGAAGATATTAAAAAATCTTAAATTCAACGGTCAGAAGAATGAAAAGTTACTAGTAACAGATACCTACCATTTGTCAGTCTTTAAAATTTTACGGTGAGGATTTCCCTAACGTTCTTCAACCAAACTAAAAATGATACACGTGTACATATATGTATATATATATCACGAGTTTACACAGAAGAAGTCCTCTTTTCTTCTCCTTAACCTGTTCTTCTTCTGCAACCATGAAAATTTCCTTAGACGGGATGACTAACACTTTTCCTTCAACAATCCAGATTTTAGTCATAGTGCTTTTCATCCTCATAATGCTTATCAAACGATCAACTAAAATCAGGGCTTATAAGAAACTCCCACCTGGTCCTCTTCCATGGCCGATCGTCGGCTGCATTCCTGAAATGCTCACCAACAAGCCAGTTTTCCGGTGGATTCACAGAACCATGAAGGAATTAGACACTGAAATTGCTTGTTTCCGTCTAGGAAATACTCATGTAATTCCAGTCACCAGTCCCGAGATTGCCCGAGAAATCTTGAAAAACAAAGACTCAATTTTTGCATCCAGACCAACTTCCTTCGCTACCAAGACTTTCAGCGGCGGTTATAGAACGGCGGTAATTTCACCGTACGGTGATCAATGGAAGAAAATGAGAAAGGTCTTGACGTCGGAGATCATATGTCCAGCAAGACACAAGTGGCTCCGGGAGAAAAGGACCGAGGAAGCTGACAATCTTGTGAGTTACATCTATAACCAGTACAAGTGGGGTAAGAAGGTGAATTTGAGAATCGCAGTTCGGTTTTACAGTGGGAATGTGATAAGGAGGTTGACGTTTGACAAGAGATACTTTTATGATTCAGTGCCTGATGATGCAGGCCCTAGCCGCCATGAAATAGACCATGTGGAAGCTCTCTTTACAGCCCTTGGTTACATTTATGCCTTCTGTATTTCAGATTATTTTCCTTGGTTGATAGGGCTTGATCTTGACGGCCATGAAAAGATCGTGAAAGAAGCTAACAGAGTTATTGAGAAATACAACAATCCCGTTATAGAAGAAAGGATTCAGTATTGGAGGAGCAGGGACAAGAAGCCCAGTGGGAAGAAGATGAAGAAGACGGTTGAAGACTTGCTTGATGTTCTTATCACATTGAATGATTCAAAAGGAGAACCTCTCCTAACAACAGAAGAAATCAAAGCACAATCTAGAGTAAGTTCTTTTCAATATCACCCAATATAGTTTTTGGAGTACAACTGATGTTACATTTATTATAAATCAATCTTCAAATTTTTAAACATGTTTCAAAAGTTTTATTTTAGATGGAATAGCTTAGAATTATTTTGTAATCTATAAATTTTTTATTTAGCTTTAGATTTTTCAATTGACATTAAAATTTAACATATTAAATTGATATAATTAATTTTCAATTATTTTTTAACTATTTTAAAGATCTTTTCTAAAAAAATTATATTATATTATATCTTTTATCACCAAAATATAATGTTAACTATATTTTGATAACTAAATTAGATATTTTTCTTGATTTCTAGTACAATGTATGTGGACATATATGTACACACATATATATATATATATGTAGTAATATATTAATATAACCCCATAACCATTGAAAAGAAAGAAAAATTTAATGTAGGAGATCATGATGGCAGCAGTAGATAACCCATCAAATGCAGTGGAATGGATAATGGCAGAGATGATAAATCAACCTGCCATTCTTTCAAAAGCCGTAGAGGAACTAAACAGGGAAGTTGGCAAAGAAAGACTGGTTCAAGAATCAGACGTTCCCCGTCTCAACTACATAAAATCATGCATCAGAGAAGCCTTTCGTCTTCACCCGGTTGCACCATTCAACGTTCCTCATGTTTCCCTAACCGACACCACCGTCGCCGGCTACTTCATTCCCAAAGGAAGCCATGTCCTCCTCAGCCGTCTTGGCCTTGGACGGAACCCTAACGTCTGGGATGACCCGCTCAAGTTCAAACCAGAGAGGCACCTGAATGAAATTGACGACGATGATAATGAGGTGAGTTTAACGGAGCATGACTTGCGGTTCATATCGTTTAGTACAGGGCGGCGTGGTTGCATTGCAGCATCTCTTGGAACTTGCATGACCACCATGCTTTTAGCCAGGCTTCTTCAAGGATTTTCATGGTCTGCAACTGAGAATGAGGGTTGTACGGATCTTAACGAGGGAGAAGATGACATGTTTTTGGGTAAGCCTTTGGTTGTTTGGGCTGAGCCCAGATTGGCTCCTAATCTCTATCCATCAGCTGATAAGTCATGATTATTAATATTGGGAAGAAGCCATTAAAGAATTTTCATGTAAGAATTTAATTTCAGACTGAAAAATTGGATTATACCAAAAAAATTATGTTCGATTTGATCTTCGATCTTAAGGTAGGTGGACCGAGATTTGTTGGTTCAGTAGGAGATGAAATTAAAATTAGTACCAGCCCAGAATTTCTGGGCTTGGGCGCCTTCTTTGTTTCTTATAGTGTCTTCTCCTCGTATGGTTTCCACCAAATTTGAAAGTGTCGTTTTATGAAAAGGTCAATTTTTAAATGGGTTCAAATTTTGTATGGTGATGTCAATCAAGTACGAAGAATAAGAAAAAATTTACTAAAATTATAATTTGTTACAATTATTTTAGTTCAAAAATAATAAATTTTTTAGTTAAAATATTTATCTATTTAAAATTTTAAGATATAAAAATACCGATTACGAACTCTAAAACTGTGTATTATATAAACTCTTCATCACCGATCTGTTTTTTACACATCATTAAAAAAAAAATCAAATGGTTCCAAAATGAGCTTCCATCACCCATTTCGAATCTATATATATATACACACACACATAATTGTCTCTATCTTGGTATATATAAGTGGGAAATTTCGTCTTGTTAGATCTTCAATTTTTTTCGC